CACATCCCCTGTGGGGGTTATGTAGGAGGCAGCTGATCGATGATGTTTCTAGCTCTCTATCCCTCTCCCTTCCTCTCTGTAAATAAATAAATAGATAGATAAATAAATAGATAGATAGATAAAAATCAATTAAAAAAACCTATTTAAAAAATAAATAAAGCGATTATCTCTGAATGATAGCATTATGGATTTCCCTCTATACTTTCTTGAATTTAACAAATAGTCTAAAATCAGCATTATTTAACTCCAGTCAGTAAAAACACGCCCCCTCTGTCCCCACACACAAAAAAACAGAGTAAGACTCCTGCTTTGGCCACCCTTACCTCCTTTCATGCCCCTGGAGTGTGGACGGGCAGAGGAAGGCCCAGGGAAAGGTGGTGGGCTTCTCACTGTGGGCTATTAAGTCCACTTACTGTCACATCATCCAGTGAAATCTAAACTAGACTAATGTGAAAACAATATGGCATTGATGATATTGCAAATGGGAAAAGTGCAACAAAATTTAGATGTGAAGGTTGTTGCTTAGCCCATGGGAGGCAAGAGGCTTAAAAGTATATTTCCTTCCAAGGAAATTGTGCTGAGATTCTCCTGAGGGTAGCTTTATATACCCTAGTGCTGTGGTCGGCAAACTATGATTTGCAAGACACATGTGGCTCTTTGGCCCCTTGAGTGTGGCTCTTCCACAAAGTATCACAGCCTGGGCAACTCTATTTTGAAGAAGTGGCGTTAGAAGAAGTTTAAGTTAAAAAAAAAATTGGCTTTCAAAAGAAATTTCAATTGTTGTACTGTTGATATTTGGCTCTGCTGACTAATGAGTTTGCTGACCACTGCCCTAGCAGAAATAAAGCATACACACCTTGCTAAAGGATGCACACTGTACACCTGTACAGTAACCTGCAACACAGGGCATCTCACATCTTGGCATCCATTGCCGCCCATGACTCTGAAAGGCTTGGAGGACCTGAAACTGATCCATCCATCTATATACACTAAATGCCATCCTTGAGCCAAAACTGAAGTGTTAGAACTGATCTCCTGGAGAATTACTTTCAGCTAAGGGGCCATTCCAGCCATTTATATTCTACTAGAAGCCTGGTGCACAAAATTCATGCACAGGGGGATGTTGGGGGGTGGGGGGAGAAGAGAAGGTCCCTTTTCAGCCCTGCCTGCACCCTCTCCAATCTGGGACCCTTTGGGAGATGTCTGACTGCCGGCTTAGGCATAATCGTGGGGATTTGGGCCTAAGCTGGCAATTGGACATCCCTGTCACAATCTGGAGCCATTGGCTTCAAATTGCTCACTTGCCTGCCTGTCTGATCACCCCTAACTACCCCCCCCCCCCCCGCTGCCAGCCAGCCTGGTTGCCTCTTAAACGAACCCCCCCCCCCCCCCCCGCCAGCCTGGTCACTCCCCACTGCCCCTTCTTGCTGGCCTGGTCGCCCCACACAGCCTGCTGCTTAGTTGTTTGGTCTTCCCTCAATAACCCCCTGGCTGGTCTGGTCACCCCATGCAGCCTGTTCAGTCATCCGGTTGTTTTGGTTGTGATGGTCGCTTAGGCTTTTATATATGTAGGTTCAACAATGGAAGAAGATGCCAAGAGTGTGATTTTGTAATCAAGAGAGGTAAACTTCTATGTGTGCTGTTGACCTAACTACATAGTGGTCTCTCAAATGTGGTTCACAAGAGAATACACTCAAGTCTAAGACCCAGGAACAGTAGATCCAGCTGAGCAACTTGGGTTTTTATCTTCTAGACACTCTGAATCATGTAATTCATTAGTGTTTCTCTCTTTAGCATGGCTACCAGTACACTTAGACCCAAAGTGGTTCCCTTTGTATATACTTTTAGCAAACGCATGGAATGTTAACAACATACATTTTGTATACAATTTTAATCTTGGCTTCATCTTATTTTTTTAATCTATATCTTCCCTTTGCTCTAAATTTCCTCATATCAGTTTTGGTTTTCATATTTTTTAAAGCTGTTTCAAATACTTTAGAATCAAGTGAAATACAGCACAAATACTAAAAGGTTTTAACTTTTCAATGAACTGATTCTATAGCCTATCTTCAATAAGGTGAAATACCAAATACATAATTATAGCATACTCAAAACAAATGCAGAATACTACCTTCTCTATTAACTGATCTCATAGCCTACTTTAAATGGAGTGAAATATTAAATACATAAATAATTATATGGTACTCAGTATAAGTGTAGAAAGGATATAACTTCCTATTAACTATTTTTATAGCCTACCTTCAATACATTTAATCTGTTAAATACAACATAACTAGTAAATGCACAGGTAACTACAGTATACTTGGTATAACAGCAAAAAGTCTGTAGCTTCTCTATTAACTAATCCCATAGCTCACCCTCAGGGTTTTCAGAGTTAGCATGATAATTTTGGGTCTAATACATACAACATCTTTGGATACAGGCTCCATCTATTGCACATAAAGGATCATTACATATTAATATTGTTTGTGGTGTTAATGTTTTGCAGTAAATAAAACAAATGCAAAAATCATATCAGAAATGGGCTTTTTATTACCTTATTTAAAAATTACTACTCCCAAAGAGTCATTAATAGAAAACCAAGCTATCTCTTAAATCATTAAGATTTTTTTTAAAGTACATTTGCAAGTGGTAAATGTGTGGTTCATTTTTTTGGATACTTCCTAAATAATAACATGAAGAGTCCCAGTTTCTCCATCTAGAAAATGGGAACATCTCATGGCATTGGGTTACCATCTTTGGTACCACAAATGTGAAGAAACACAATTGTTCACTTAGGAGACACCGGTTACATAGAGGGCTCCACAGTATGTTCTTTAGCACAATGACAGGGTCATCTCATGTCACTGCTCCTTTTTATTCTCTAGGTGTGCCCAATAATGGCAAGCTTTGGACAAATCTGGATAATTGCAAAAGTAAATAAAAATATAATTTTATTTCTCTTTGAGTTTTTAATGTCATCTTTGGACTAGAAAAATAAGGAAGTCTTACCGACCACCTTACCAACTCTGACACAGGATCTAAATCAAACAAAATGAAAGATCAAATGCCCCTTTTGCTGACTAAACTCACTTCATTCAAGAAGAACTAGGAAACTTCATAACTATTTTTTATAAGCACCAACCCCACTTTTAATTTCCTTTGAGTAAATCAGAAATAACTAACAGGAAAGGAACTTTGGTCTGAGAGCCTATTTATGTGTCTTTAGATTCTGGTTCCCAGATGGACAATTGGTGAGGCCTAGAAAACTGACAATTAATGAGGACTGGAATAGACAGGGAGATCGCTCAAGTGACAACATAAACCTATTTGCTCCCTTCACTAACATTGCTTTTGATTAGTTACTTGACAGTGCATAAAACTGGTGGTCACAGAGCAGAGTAACTGTGCCAGTAGTCTTCTGAAGATTCACTGAAAAGCACATGGAAAGGTGTGAAGAGGGCAAATAGGAAACCAGGCAGATAAACTTAAGCTCAAAATACACTGGACTTCATTAAGGCTCACTGTTGATTCTATGAGGCTGGGTGCCTGCCTGCTGAGCACCAGGCACTGTGCTGTAGGGTTGGCCTTGCCATCACAGGAGAGTTAATAGAGGCACAAAGGAATAGTTAGAAGAGTTCAGATGAAGAGATGATTTTCCTGAAGAAACCTGGAAAAGGCTATAAGGAAGCTTTAGCATTTAATTTGGAGCACTGAGAATACATGAGAATCCAACCTGAGATAGGATGAGGGTAATCAAAGTTGACCAATTATCATTCCAACAAGAGCTCACTAAAAGAAGAAACCCACCTTACTCACAACTCTTAAGATTCCACAACAGGCTTCTCTCCTGCTGCCTGGCCACTCTTCATTCTGACCTACACACTACACTATTAGGATAACTGCCGCCAACAAAAACATAAACACAGCCCCAGCAACAGCAATTTCCAATAGGACTCCTCTAAAAACCTAAGCAAGGTGAAGCATAGCACCCTGATTACCAGTTTCCCACAATCAAATGCCAGCTTTACCTTCCCAACTTCCCAAATCACTGGGTCCTTTTAGGACACATCCTAGACACTAGTAAGCAATTGGATGCTTCAATACAAAAAGAGTGGGAGAGCGTATATATCTTTGTGCATGCATTCCGCCTCTCTCTGGTCAGCCCAACTCCTGTTTCTGTCGGCCCCATTCATTCAGCCACAATTCACTGATTGAGCCCCAACAAACATGCCAGGCACCACCCAGGCACACACATTACTGACAATTTTATTAACAAACTTATGAATTTAGTTAATCCAACTATGTAACCTTAAAGTTATTTAATATTTTAAAACTTAAAGTGCAGAAAACAATCCAATAGCCATGCATATATCAATTTAACATGTTAATATTTTGTCATGTTTGCTCCAAATGGTAATTTTAATAAAGCCTAATTCCTGATAGCTTCCTCCTCCCTTACTCCCTAGAGGTACCACTATCTTAAACTGGTGTCCTTCCAAAATATTTTACTTTTACTAGTCATGCATACATTCATAAATAATAGCAAACATTGTTTAAATATTATATAATGTTATAATATATTAAATACATTTTTGAAAGCTAATTAAATGTTATCATTTAGAAATATTTCCTAATTAAGCCAAAATCAATATCAGGCTTCTAGAGCTAGTTAGTTTTACCAATAATTAGCAATTAATTGTGGAAAGCATCCATTAATTGTATCTACACAGGAGAAATCAAATTTCTAAATACAGCGTCATAGTTTTTGCTACTAAAGCTTCCCAATGCCGTATAAAAACATATCAAGCACAGTACTGAAGTATAATCAATACTGCAGAGGCTCCTCAAAATTAGAATAAATTGACATTCTTGGTGTCAAATTCAGGAAGGAAGTCCATAGTGACAACACTAACAGAATCATTTGCTGCACCCAGAACAACTTAATAAGACATGTGGCTTGAAGGTGTGTAGAAAACTTGAGCCTTTGGCCCTGGTACCTGGTGCTGGCGATGCTTGGTGACTCTGCTCCAAGCCTACATCTTTCTAGCTGACTGGCAACAATCTGCCTTTCCACCTCCAGTTCTCGGGTGAGTCGCTGAAACTGAAGCTCCTGTGATTCAAGAAAATAAAAGGCACATAAGGGATTGAGGTTTGCTGCTCAGGCAGATATATGAATTAAAGTATGTCACAGGAAACAAAGGAACATCCATTACACAACACTATACTATGGCTTTGTGAAATTAGGATTTTTGATGGAATTGCGAGCCTAATAAACTACTGATCTGTAGCCTTTTTAAACTTAAAGACACTAGAATATTAGCCTTTTCTTGGGATCAAAAACACAGATATTTTTCTTTTTTGGGAGCTCACAGAGGTCTCAAGCAGCATTTCTACTCCTGTGCTGGATTAAACATCAGGATTGCAGGGTTCTTACTTGATGTATTTACAACCGAGGCTCAGCAACAGGTACAAGCTCTTCATCCTCAATGGCTCATTTTTATATTCCTCATGCTATATGTTAGCACAGCATTAAAAACCACAAATTCCCATTATAAGAATCACTTTAGCATGTTTGAGAAAAGCCTTTAATTATTAAGGAGAAAAACAAAACACAAAATAATTCCAGTCCCAGAGGAAAAAAAGAAAGGCTGCTATATTTCTCTACAATATAAGCAACAAACTTTTTCTATTGCCTACAAATGTATTCATGAGTCACTGCATGCAGGGGATGGAAAAAAGTCTGAGCAATAATATAGAATTTAAAACTAAATTAAAAAGCTGGAAACATTGTCTGAAGAAATCAAGTTCTTCATTCTGTGCTGCATCATGAGGGCAAGAAAGTTCTATTATATAGGAGAAAACATTTTTAACTTTTTTTGGGCACTTATCTCATGGTTACCTTGACAGAATTTTAATAAATAGAAAGTATGCCATGTTATACAACATAATACACATCAAATCAAGTATGCTGCAAAGGCATCAAAGCCACAAATAACATCACGGGTAACACCTCAAGCTCCCCTGTGATGCATTATCTCCTTAGCCTATCCAAAGCAAATACTGCACGTGTATGTTGTTTAATTGGACAGTGACTGCTTGTTCAAAATACCAAGCACATAAAGCCTATAGCTAGAAACTAATCAGAAAGAGAATAGCCTGAAATATTATTTATGACATTTGTTAGCCATGCAAAAATAAAAATTGGACAGTATATTATTAAGTCCCTCTGGAATCAGGCAAACGTGCTATTACTTGACAGCCCTGGCTTTTCAAATTCTACAAATTCTCCTAAGAATTATTTTTAAGAAATAGTTCCTGAACTCCTCATTGCTTTTTTATCATGAGATTCCTTTTCTAATGAGCCAATTGGTGTGGGGCCTGAGTAATATAAGAGCTGGCTCCATAATGCTGTACAATATGAATATAGTGGGTAAGTGGGATATTGGCTACCTCTGTCCAACTATCCGTAGTTCTTAATAAATGTCCAGCCACAAAAGACCAGACTGATAATATTGTATAGCATTCAATATCAGGCTAAAATAATTGATTTTAAGGACAAATTGTATTGTTTACTTCACAGTTAATCTTTCTTTGTCCTTAAACTATATATATATTGTTTTTCCCCAACCTCCATTGGGGCTTGCACCTTGGGCAACCAGTAAACAATATATTTTTGTGTGACATGCTATTCTTTCAATTATTTCACTTTGTTTATTATGCACCTCTTCCCACAAGACTGCTACTTGTATCAAGCTAGGCCAGGCAAGGACTGTCCATGAATCACAAATTAGTCCTAAAGACATCAAATTACTGTGTTCTCAGTTCAGTGGCTACTAGAAGCACCATCGCCAACCTTTCGGACGTCATGGATCACCAGTGAGTGGTCCACGGACCACGGGTTGTCGACCGCTGTACTAGAGAAGGAAGGTTAGAGTGTTTTCTACATTTTGGGGTGGATAAAAGTTGCCAGGGTTAAGATTAAGGTATGTTTTGTCAAATTAGGACACACAAAAAAATCCATTTTAATGGATTTTTATCATTTTTGTGGCTGCCTAAGAGCTTTTGAGCATCCTTTCTAGAAAATAGTTGGGGAGTTTCCTGCTTGAAGAAACAAGCTGAAACCACTGACTACATAATTTCTTCCTTCAGAAGCAAAGACAGGTGAGTTTGGCTTTGCCAAGATGCCAGACTGTGACTCAGGTGCTCAATCTAAGACTTTTAATATTGAAAACACAAAAAACTCACTTTCTCTTTCATTTCCTTACTACACTCCCTGCAAGAGGTCCCAGGGTCACACTCCTAAAAAGCAAATGACCTTCACTCAAACTACTTCTATGCGTGGTGGCGGTGTTGGTGGCTTTCTTATCTGACTGATTTTGTCCCAGATTTGGACACTGTTCCTCGAAGCTGAGTCTCAAGACTGTATTCCAGGCTTTGCAACAAATCTGGGAATTCACTAATACTCACTTCATAAATGCCCCTTTCTGCACAATTAGCCATGCCAGTCTCTGTTTCTTGCAACTAGAGACCTTGACAGGCACCATTTACAGTCCTTGAGCTATGTACCTAAGAGAGCTCATGTACCTATGGCATAGCTACATTTTTAAATTTAAAAGATGGGTAATTTCTTTAACATTCATATGGAATGAGTGAAGTCCACAGTATATTCCTATTATTCCATTTTAGGGAGCCCATAATATTGAATACCACTGGCTACAATGATCAAAACTATTCTACTCATTATTTGCTTACACATCTCACAAGGAGGACGTCATTAAAGCCCCCAAAAGCAGAACATCAAGAATCTTTGAAGCATGGCATTTGTTAAGATTACCTAATACTTGTGAATATTTATGTACAGCTAAAATATGTAAATACTTTGTTGCACAATTATTAACATTACAACTACAGAATATAAACTGAACGCTTATGTGTGACTGGGACCAAGAAGGATATATAGGATATATAAATATTTGACCATTTTGTGTCTACTGGCTTCTAAGATTGACTGATAAGACAGTACGACAGTCATATAAAAACATATAATGATTTCCAAGGCTGATCCCCAAACCAAGCATCTGAATTATAAGGGGACCAGAGATTTGCTCTCCTTTGAGAATAGCAGATTAAATAATGTTAAAAGCATGGATTAACAATTTAGAATATGATAATATCCTCTTAAAATCTGGCAAAAAAAGACCATCAACAAGCTTTGATGGAAACTTAAGGCTACTAATCTATAATAATAAAAGTATAATATGCTAATTAGACTGGACATCCTTCTGGATGGGATGTCCGACATCTCCAAGGGGTCCCAGATTGGAGAGGGTGCAGGCTAGACTGAGGAACATCCCACTCCCGTGCACGAATTTTGTGCACCGGGCTAATAATAATAATAATAATTATTATTATTATTATTATTATTGTTGTTGTTGTTATTATTATTATTATATCCTTACCATGTAGGTAAGGAAAATTAGAAAGTCAATGGTACAAAAAAAGCAAGTTCAACTTTTATTTAAAGTCAGAGAGAGATGTGGAGGCAGAACTAGTACTAGACCCTGAGTTTTCCAAAATTTTGCTGACTGCTCTTTAAGCAAATTAGCTCTCTCAGGATTCCATAGTACTTATAATGCTATAGACAAATAAGGTTTTCTAAAAATAATAAATAAGGTGTGAATAATTTCAGTGGTATGTGGCTTATTGCTGTTAATAGACTCATCCTATGACACTGCTCCATCCCCCCAACTGCTTATACCTATTCCCACTTGCCAAATTCCCTGATCTCTCAGGCATCATATCATATCCTGGTTATCAGAAACTCAGGAGTTTCCTCGCTTTGGCATGTCAGTTTTGAAAACCTGTCTACCAATCCAAATGTGATACACAGCTAGATAGACAGGAGCAGAGCAAGAACAATAAGCCAGGTACAGAAGGTTACCAGGGAAGAAAGCCCTGGGGGCCTAGCAACGGGCAAAACTGGGAGAACAAGGACCTTGCCCTCAGGGAGACCTTTCCTCTCCTTGCATGCAGTTCAGGCCTGATCCTTCATGTAGCTGGTCATGTGGCTCAAACCCTTCCTTGACTTTTCCTTCCGGGCAGGTTGCTAGTCATGTGGATTAGACCCCTTAAAGGGGGAACAAACAAGGTGCCTGAGAATAGCCCCTTAGCAATAAGCTACAGGACAATGAGATTCTGACCCACATCAAATGCATCAGGTGCTCTGTTGTGCTTCAGCTCCAGGCCCAGAAAAGCATCAAACCAGACAAGCAACAGGACTGCCCTCAGGACCAGCTGCATTGAGTTATGATACCTTGACCTGCTGTCTAACAGTGAGACCACAATACTGAAAGGACACACCTCGGAAGTGGATGAATATTCTGTTGAGATCCTTGCCCTGAAATCTTCCTTAAAATCTCCACCATTAAAAGCCTTTAACACAGAGGACGCATCCAGCTCTCTTCTTGAACCAGGCCTGTGCCTTTCCCTCTCCTCCCAAGGGACATTACCTCTAGAGCCCATTTCTTCTACTGCTCAATTCTTCTACCTCTGTAACTTATTAAATATACCATCTCTTATACTAGGTTTACCAAATAATCAGTTAATAATGCAGATTTCATAATCAAAGAAAACACAATAATTTCCAGAGAAAAATCAAAAGTGCTTTACTCAAAGTAATGTCCATCACTAGCTACACGTTTCCCCCATCTTTCAGGTAATTTGTGGACACTGTCCCAATAGATTTTTTCTTGTTTTGAGGCAAACCATTCAGAGATCCGATTTTCAACTTCTTTGCACATTTTGAAGTGCTGCTCAGAAAGTGCAGGTGCCATCCATCAGAAAAGTGGTAATCTGAAGGAGCAAGGACTGGTGAATATGGAGGGTGGGTTAATACTTGCCAGGTAAGAAACTTTTAACGTGTTTTTAACTGTTTTTGAATTGTGTGGTGTGTCATCATGAAGCCATGTCTTCAGGCACATTCTGGTTGTTTCATGATCAAAGTAAGATTCAAATTCATTATTTGTTGTTGGTAGTGATCAGAATTAATGGTTTCACCTGGTTTTAGAAACTCATAATACACCACACCTTCCTGATCCCACCTAACGCAGA